GTCGTGGTGCTCAGGAACTGCAGGAAGATAGTCAAGATGGTGGTTTAGTAGAGGGTACTCAACCAACTCGTCGACGCTGTAGAAAATGTAAGGGGATAGGCCATAACATGAGAACATGCTCAAAAGGTCAAGATGACTCTGTAGAATAACCCTATAAACTTGGAAATTTTATTTCTCTTCATGTTGTTGAGTTATACGTGTTCTGACCTAGTTGGGTCGCATGATGCGCACCGCTCGCTTGTCCGCGCCGCTCGCTTATCAAGTACGTTATCTCGAGAAACAGTAAGTGCTATTCTGGACCAGCTGAGCTCCATCAGCCTCTTCTGCATTCTTTCTCGCCTGTAGCATCGCCTGATTCCATCGGTTCCAGAAGGGCTCGTCTTTTTCTTCCTACGTATGTAAGTAGGGATGTATTTGGTTGGTCCGCCCGCTCGGTCGCTGAGCGCTTGTTCGCTCACCCTAGTCCGCCACATTTCATGGCGTGGTACGGTACTGGTAGGGCTGCGTAAGTAGGCGTAGGCCGAGCTGAGAATAGGACAAGCCACTCGCTAGACCTTCGCCCACACTGGACATCGGACGTCACCGTACATATGCAACGGAAGTGCGAAGAGTGGATTGAAGAGTGTTTTCAGCCCTTGGACAAGCCACCGGATTTCGAACAAGTCCGGTGGTGTGGTACGTGGATCGATGTGGAGGGCTATCTTACACAGTATCATGAAAGACCTTGTTGTCGTCGGGCGTGGCGAGGATTCGATAGGTGGAGGATCCCGTGCTTTTTTCCCCTCTGGTTTCGCGGTGTGGTTAAGTTGTTGATTCTATACGGAGTACAGCTCTCGTTGTGTCGTATACCAGACTTCAGCTCAGAACTTAGGAGTGGAATTGTACTTATTTCCATGTGCAGTGATTGAACGTACGTGTCTCCCCGCTGGCTCGGCTTACCATGCCTACCATGTTCCTTAGCCCGTGTTACTCAGCCTGGCTAATGGCAGTCATGCCGCTCAAATAGGGATATTGTAGGCGTCGTATGGAGGCCAGAGCTGAGGTTTAGCACAACTGCGCATATGTGTCGTCAGCAGGCCATATCATCAAGAAGAGATCCCATGGATAGCATCAGCATCAGCCATCAGCAGTCGAATAGCGACGAGTAAGGGGAATATACGACAAACCCAACGTTAGGGTAGTAGATGCTTCATCTTTATCGGTCGAGCCGCGTCAGCCAGATATATGTACATAGTAAGTATGTGGGAAGATGAGGTTACCATGTCGGGGAACTGATAATCTCTCCGGCTTTCTCTATGGCTATAGGCTACGATATCCGCGCCATCCCCCTAAGGTCAGAGCTCTTTGGAACGAAGGGTACAGTACGGAAGTGGGTGTCGCTTGTATCGCTTGGTCCTTTTACAACCCTCAGCATCGAATTTCAAGAGCGAGTTTCGAAGACCGAGATTGTGGACTGAGATGCTGCACCTCGCGTGATGGAAATATCAGTCACTGACGGTGGGATGCCTGAGCTGGTCTGGCAAACCCGCAATAGGGCACGCAGAATCTACTTCGCCTTGAAGAGAGAGAGAGAGCATCGCATTATACCTGACGGTATCTACAAGTTACTACTTTTTTTTGTCACTCTATTTAGAAGAATGCCGATGGTGAGGATGGTCGGAGAGGAGTAGACGCCTGGACGAGTCAATGATGACGCTTACTAAACCACGCTAACGCACCATCTATCCCCATCAACCTACATCTCTTGGCGCGACTTTCTACAACAATTATACACAGTACTCCACAACTTCAGTCGCAACAAATCCCACAAACTCTCTACACCTTGCAAACACCCCAACGGAAATGCAAGGCCACCATTCCGACGCTGAAGCCGACTCGCACTACCACGAATCCTCCGACGAAGACTTCAATCCCGCCGCCGCCGAGAACGCCCCAAGCGATGACGACGACGCCAGCACCTCCGACGACAACGAAGAAGAAGCGGGAAAGAACAATGCGGCGGCGGTGAAGAAGACGCAGCGCGGAAAGAAGCGCAAAGCAGCGCCGTTTGCGGAGGAGGAATTCGCTTCGGGGGATGAAGTGACGATCCAGGCGGCGGCGGCGGCGAGGAAGAGGCGGAAGAACGCGGCTAAAGGGAAGTCGAAGGGGAAAGGGAAAGGGGAGGAAGCGGATGGGGATGAGGATGAGGATGAGGACTTATTATCCTTCTCCGAAGATGATGAAGGGGGTGAAGGCGGATTGATCAAGACGAGGGCGCAGAGGAGAGTGGAGAGGAAGGAGAGGAGGCCTCTAGCTGGAATTGAGGGCGCGACCATCGACGTCGATGCCTTGTGGGCGCAGATGAGTGCCGCGCCGCTGCGGCCAGCGCCATCGTATCGAGACCGGGATAAGGAGAACGTCGGTGTTGCGGGGGACAAGATGGTCGGTGTGGTGGAGACGGCGCAGGTGGATGGTGAGACGGAGCTCGTCTCTATACGGAAGGTCTACACGTTTGCGGGGCAGCGCACGACGGAGGAGAAACAGGTTCCTAGGAGCTCGTTGCAGCAGTATCTCTCGGATGGGTGGAAGGAGGCAGAACCGTCTGCTCAGGAAGCTGCGGCGGTAGATGGGGAGCCAATGGACGAAGACGAGGCCGCGCAGGTTGCGGAAGATGGTCCAAAGGTCCGGCGCCCTCTTCGTCGTCCTTCCCGATACGATCCCAATCCGACCGGCTACGTGCGTGCTCTCCCGCCCGAACACCAACTCACCTGGCCGCGCAAGGCCATGGCTACAACCACAACTCCCGAGACTCATGAACCAACGCCTGTGGCGGAGTCCGTGAGAGCGACCGCCCGGCCAGAGAAGGCGCAGAAGCTCAATGTGGTGGACAAGTCCCGGCTGGATTGGACCGGCTTCGTGGACAAGGAGGGGATCGCCGAGGAGCTGGATGCCCATGGGAAGACAAAGGGGGCATACCTGGGGAGGATGGAGTTTTTGGCGAGTGTGGAGGCCAAGAGGGAGGAGGAGAGGAGGAGGTTGAAGGCGGCTGCTGCTTCGTAGGTGGCTGGTTTGGGGAGGATGAGATTATGAATATGATACCCATTTTATGGCCGGTTCGGCTCCCTTCGATAGCAGTTTGGGCTCGGCGAGGACGATACTTTGTGGATCAGCCATGAGGCCTCTAACGAAGAGGATCTATCTAAAGAAGAGAAGATGAGAAGATGCATGCCTTCGGTCGTCTGCGATATTTCGCGCATTCTAGCAAGTGCCTAACAACGAAGCAGACTCTATGAGGAATTTTCCAATGTCCGAGGTATTATGCCATTACCCATTCGAAGTACCCGTATATGCCAATGCTAATGCAAACGCCACACCGATGCAAAATACATCTAGGTTCCAGGATCGAACCGTTCGAACGCCATCGGATGCCGGTATCCTCCACCATCCTCTCGCGCACTTCAATCCCATCCCAAACCTCAGCACCTATCCTCACCCTTCCCCACCTCCAGACTCCTCCTATGAACCTCTATATCCCCACCCACATTCGCATTTCCCCCCTCTCGCATCCCCTTCCGCGTCCCCTCCCTCTCCTCCGCCTCCTCCCTCTTCTTCTTCGCCAAGTACTGACAAAACCGACTTCTCCTCCGAATCTCGTGCCCCCACTTCAAAAACACAAACGGCACGGCGCACAGCGCCACGCTCAGAAACCCCAGTAAACTGCACGCCCATGGCACTCCGAGACTCCTGTACATGGGACGCGCAGCGAAGGGGAGTACGGCGCCAAACGCGCTGCGCGAGAAACTGGCCGCCGCCATGGCGCTTGCGGCGAAAATCTCGTAGGCATCGACGAGGTAATTGAGTAGCGCCATGAATAGACACAGATAGCCGACTCCGAAGGGTATACCTGAGAGCACGGGGACGATCCAGTGGACGTCTGGCCGGGCAGACCAACCTGCCCAGAAGAGACTGAGGACGAGAAAGGGGCCGGCGATGCAGGCGAGGGGGAGACGGCGCATTTCTTCGGACTTGGACCAGGGGCGTTGGGCTGCTTGGGCGCGGTCCAGAATGGTGTCCCAGGCGAGATAGAAGAGGGCGGAGATGATGGCACCGATGCCGATAGGAAGGAAGGTCAGGCCTGTTTCGCCGGCGTTGAAGGAGTATATGCCGCTAAAGATGATGGGGTAGGACTGAAAGAAGATGTAGAATATGGCGTCTGCGGAGAAGTGCTGTTAGCCAAATGCGTCGTGCCAGCTCACGGACTGTGGTTCAGAGAAGTTAAGACCTACATGCGTAGCTGAGATACAGGCAAGTGAACAGGACAAGCGGCTCGAAGATGATCATGCGGAAGGGCCTGGTGATTACCGTCGTGACGATGTGTCCGATGTCCGTCTTCTCGAGCTCGATCGGGGCTACTATCGACATGTCGCCGGTCTCCTTTCGCAATCTCTGCGCCTGATGCTTCAGGATAATGGGAGCGTATGTCTCTGGAAACGCAATGAGGAGTGGCCATGTCGCACCCGCGATGATAGCACCGATCCAGAATGCCCAGCTCCACGACACTTTTGCTATGAAGCCGCTGACCGGAGGACCCATGATGGGGCCAAAGGTTGTCGCCGCCATGAAGTACGCCATACTCCTTCCTCGGGCTCGGGGATCATGATAGATGTCGGCACAGATTCCTCCCACAACAGCCAACGCGCACGACCCTCCCACCCCAACAAGCCATCTGAAGATAACGAGCGCGGCGAAGGTGGGAGATACAGCGGACGCAATGGAGAAGATGTTGAACATGGCGAAGGATATGATCGTGGGCCATTTGCGGCCGAACGTCTCACTTAGGGGACCCCAGATGAGGGGCCCGCATGTATATCCCACGAGGTAAATACTTGTTGGAAGGATGAGTTGGTACTCGTCGTCTACTCCGAAGCGTTCTGATATTTGTTCCGTGGCCCCTGCTGCGAGTGAACTTGCAATGGTGGAGTTCATTACTGCGGTGTATTAGCGCGATGACTTCCAAATTGAAACTGACAGAGCCGACCTGTCATGATAGCTACAGATATCGCCAGCAGTTTCCGTTTCTGTTACTTGGTCAGTCGTTTGTACTCGTCTCTTACGACGTAGGTGCCTCTGCTCACCTGGCTCCAATTGTTAGGCTGTGCAGGATCATCATCATCAAAGCGAATTATCTTCCTCGCCGGCGTCGTTCCACCAGATGGTTGGCTTGACAGATCGCGCGGAGTCGATGTAGCGGAGAGTGTTGGTTTGACCTCTTTTTCTTCAGACTCGAAATGCGCGTCGAAATCGTTTGCACCGATCCGATCGTCCGGATGCTGTAATCTTTCCTCTACAACACCTATATGAGCACAACGGCCAAAATGGGCTTGAAGATAAAACATTGTAATACCTTGGGTCGGGCTACGGACAAGTGAATACGGTGTTGTCTGCACTCTGAGTTCATATCCGTTGCCCAGTCGCTGCTGCTCACGAGAGTAAGTCTTCTCGAGATCCTCCATGCTCAATTCCAATGCACCATTGACCCATGCAGGAGGAAACAACGACAAGGAAAAAGGAGATGGAATTGAACGGCAGCGCACACATAACGGAAGAGTTCAGGGGAGAAGAAGGATTTGCATTGGCAGAGAGTGTTATGGACCCCGCGATTGAGTCACTTGTGGGGAAGAGTTCCGAGGTGGAAGCAAACACGACCCAAGCTGGAGAAGAACCATTCCTTATCGGGCAGTAGGGGTGCGGATCTGATGATGCTGCTTTTCCATCAACCTTGGAAGGTTGCAAGGGCTGGGGTGGTCGGGACAGACGGCAAGACCCTCTGTGAGCCTTTCCGCGGTTGTGGGTTCCACTTGCCGATCGGCTTCGGCGGGAATATGAGCGCTTTATTCCCGATGGGAAGCGTTGTTTCGGGGCGGAGCTTAAGTTAATGGAAAGAAGAGTGATGATATAGGTTGAGAAAGCTCGTTGCTGCGTTCATGAGGAGCTGTCTAATCCGATGGATACTGGCTCATGTTGATTCTCAAAGTCCTGATGCGAACGACATATCGAACGGCGCACCTTAGAAACCGAAAACAGTGGCCACTGGCGTCAAGATAACATCACCAGCTTGATGGGCTGCTTTGGATAATTGTTCCGATTCCTGTTCTTCTCCCTTGGAAGCCTAAGTTTCAAGATTGATACTCTTCCCGAATCGCCCATAGAGCACCTTCTTGAGCCCCTCCATCTCTTCATGGATCCCGTCTAGCGTCTCCTTCAGCGTAGATACCTCGCCATCAATCCTTTCCGTAGCAGCCGACAGTAACTCGAGAACCTCGGGCTGAGGCAGCGAAACGAAACAATCGCCAACTTTGTACCTGGACAAGGTCGTCGATGTCAGTATCTTGTGTGCATTTGGGGGTCCGACATGCAGGTCACGAGACTGGCTCACATACGGCACTTTCTCCTCCTCATCCACAAGCTCTAACTCGGTGGATATGTCTTCTAGATCTTCCTTCTCTTTCTGTTTGAAAGGAGGGTTAGTCGAGCAATCGTTAATGTGTGGTCACTGGGCGAGGCGGCTCTCACCAGCTTCGCCTTCAATTCCTCCTCTAACCGCGTCTCTTTCTGATGTAATGTGCTGAACTTGTTGATTCTGTCCTGATCCTCTCGGCGTACTTCGACTTCCTCTCCCGTGGAGGCTTCCTCCTCCTTTGTGAGCTTCAAAGTGTTAATCGAGCCGTGCGCGAGCCTGCGGAAGGTTTTGATGTCGAGCTCACCATTCGACGCTGCATTGTGTGTTATGATCTTTGAACGTCTTATTGAGAGGGAAAAGGCGATGTCTCTACGAAGAGAAATACCCGTATGGTCGTATCGTGAGGGTCTTGGCGTCAATTGTGTAGAGTCCACGGTGTTGGTGTGTTGCTCCCGAGGTCCAGGGTTCTCACCAAGTGCGGGTTTGCCAAGACTCCAACTTGGTACTTACCTAGGTATGTAGGTATCTCGCCTTGTCCATGCGTATCGTAAATCTACACCAAGAACGCGCGGGGCTAGATAGACTCCGTCGTATACACAGTAAGTGAGTGAAAGGTGCGTATTTCGAACACTATTAACAGTACAGGCCTGCCGCAAGACAAGGACCAGACGCCAATGCTAATGCTTTATTATTTATACCAGTCACCGAAAATTCTCCCTCTCACTTAACCCTTTCAATAGTAGGACCAGAACTGTCCACCTTGTCCGCGAGATCTACGCTAATCTGTAAGTTTTGGGCACCATTGAGTGCCTTTGCTATGCTCGTCTCCGCCTTTTCCTGGACGAGCCGTCTGAGAGCATTGATCAGGAAGGCTCCCACTATGTCCACATTCCAATCATCAGGAATGATTTCGAGGACCTTGGCCACATCCAACCACCCGCCAAATCTCTCTAGAAGTTCTCCGGTTCTCAAAATGCGCTGTGATGGGTCGTCGAGACGCAAACACTCCTGTAACAGGAAGTCAAATAGCTTTGCTTGTTCCTCTCGACTGGGTATCTCCTCTTGGGGGACGTAGCCCGGAGGTCGGAATATACTAGAACCGCCCAGGAGACAATAGTTGATGGCAGTGTCGAAGTCGTCGAGGTTGTGGGTGAGTAAACGTAGGGCTTCCTGATGGCGGCCCTGCCGCCCGTTCAGAATGATCATCTCAGGCACCAGTTCCTGTTCATAAGGCTCGAGTCGGTTGAGGATGGAAGAGACATCATAGGAATCCGTCGCTGACTGATTACCTCCGAGAAGCTGGAGAAGACGCAACCTGCTGTTCCACCACTCCGTACCAAGTGCATTGTCGGTGATGAACTGGCTGTAGGTAGGCTTTGGAGGCTCAAGGGCTCGGTAAGTCTCATATGTCTGAAGGAGGAGGTCTTTGGACGCTGGTGAGCTTTCGAGCTCGGCGACCACGATGTCGAGATAGAATGCTATCAGCTCATTCACGTATTCGAAATGCTTCCCACGTTAGCCTAGATCAAAGAGGAGTATTTCGCTGCCTTACCTTCTTTCCAAACACGAGATACTCCAGATACTCTTTGACAGCTGCAGGGGCTCTTTCTTTGAGCAGGCTTACAGCATGCCCTGGGCTGAACTTGACTCGGGTGTGGTCGTCCGCAAAAATTTGGACACCAAGTTTGGGGTTTCGATTCGCGAGCCAGGAACCGTAGTCCTCAACGAGCGACTGATCCCTGATCCTGCTTAGGTACTTCCGGAGCTCCGTCTCACCATCGGTGAACTCTCCTCCCTCATCTGGTTCACCCTCCAGGATACGCTTCCACGTCGCTAAAACATTCGATGCCTTTAGCGAAGCTGCACTATTACGCTGATAAAACCGACTCAAGACATATAGACGCTTGAACTGCCCGAGAAGTGTAACGGCGCGGTCAGGACACACCACTTCATTATCAACCAACTCGTATAGCTCTGCTCTCAAAGATCCGGGAGTTCCAATCCCCTTTGGGCTTTCCCGGTCCAGAAGCAGTAGGATATGGAGCAAAGCTGCATCGACGCTCTGGAAAACGTAGGGATCATTGGTTACGCTCGCCATACCCTTCCGCTTCTTCCAGAATTGCAGATATCTTTTGACAAGGTGGAGAATGTTATCTCCGAAAGGCCCATTTACCGTGCCCGGGAGTGCTGATAAATCGTTTTGCTGCAGGAATTGCTCCAGAAGAGTGACGATGCCACCCGATATCTGTACACCATCCGGGCCTTGTACAACTTCCTCGTCAAGCATCGGCAGCAGCCCAAGGATGACTCTGGGATCTATCTCTCCCTCAATCAGAGCCTGCTCCGTAATGCGCTTCTCGTTTTCGAAAACAATTATGTTGGTCGTGCTCCGGAGGATCAAGTCCATGAAGAGCAAGATAGAAGCCTTCTGGCGAATGTAGACGAGGCTGAGGTATTCGGCTTCACTGCGTGGCTCGAGCCCACGTATATCGCCGAGCACATTCTCAACATCTCTTCTGACCGGTTGTATACGCACTCCATCCCCTGTGGGCGTCGACTTAGCCTGTTCTAACCGTGAGTCAAGGCGAACAATCAGAGGATTTCTGACTGTCCACCAAATGGTATTACCACTCCATAGCACAATGCTTGTCTTAACCTTCGACAACCGTTCCATGAACTCCACATCGCCTTTCTCTTGATCTCGTCTGCTCTTGACAACTTCTATGGACGCGGGATCTTGCAAGAAGTGCGGGAGTAAGAGGTACTTCACAGAAAGTTTTTCACCAATTTCCCTTAGAATGAGGCCATTGGTCTCGACGACAGATCGCATGCCCAAGGGCTTAGCAGAATGTTCGTTGCTTTCTGCCCCTGCGTCACCGAGCAACTGGAGGTTTAGCCACTCCTTGGAGGCGTCGTCTTCACCTGCGTCCACATCCCACCGCTGTATCTCTACTCCATATCGTGATTGATTCCCTTCATTACGGCGAACAACAGCCAGAACATAACCCTCTTCGGCATCCATATCTGGACCTATAGATGTGGATAGGTCAATCCCTTTGCCATCGACGATTAACGCTTCAGGGTAGCTGCTGAACTGAATGCTTCCGCGACACATATCCCCGTCTAGATTCACAAACATTCCAACACCTGGGTCCGAAGGCGTAGTACCAACTGTGAGGAGGAATTCATTCGGCGAAGGCGATGCAATGAGCGGTTTCAGTGGCACGAAGCTGCGTGGGGGAGATGTTTCACTCTGTGCTGTAATCTCCTGCTCTGGGGCTTCTGGAAGAGGTTTATCAGCAGCAGGTGTACTCGCTCTGGATAGGCTTGAAGTCCTTTCTGGATGCTGCTGTGTCTCTCTAGATTGGGATGGGGAACGACCGGGGGCAGGAGATACTGTCCTTGACAGTGACTCAGGTATATCAAAGCCATATCTTTGCCCAGGGCGGGGGCTTTCAGTACGTCCGCCAGGAGCAGCAGTGCCAAAAATCCCTAAGCTGGAACTTCGCGCGTGGCCGCGATCGCCACTCGCTGCACCAGGAGGTGCACTTGCCGAAGACACGCTCCTGGAAACCGTGTGCTGACTAGTGGCTATATCTTCGGCCGCTCCGCCTACGTCACCGGCTTCCGGGTCCAGGGAAGACACGGGGAAAAGGCCAATCTTTTGCTGGCGTTCGAGGTCAAGTAACGCATAGGAGTGTGCATCTGCCGCACAGGAGAAATTGTCACGGCGCACTGAAGCCAAGCAGCCTCCGTACTCTATGGTCCTCAAGCTCAAGGGCCGGGCATCCTCTGATATCTTTATCAGCCGCAACTTGCTTTTCAGGCCTAGCATGACGATAACTCCGTCGCTTCCATCGTCACTCTCTCTGTTGAGATCCACTCCTCCGACCCATGAACAAGTAAGCGGTTTGGCAGTGGAATCTAGAGTAAGTTCCGGGAGAGTGTAGAAAGATAGGGTGTTGTTGCAAAGAATGAGTGCTTTGCTAACGCTGGGTAGCAGGAGGATTTGCTGCACGCCAGGGCCATTTGCATTGGTATGTGGAGGCTCTTGTCTTGATGCAAGTATAGCATTAGATTCAGCGGAGGAATCGCCAGGCTCGGGAGGCAGTAGGACGAAGTGAATGATCTCTGCCGTGGACGTCCCGACATATAGATTCCCTTCTGCGAGCCAAGTTAGTTATTGAGAGGATCTCAACCAAGATATGATGGATTCAAGCCTTGGCAGAGAGAATACATACTCCACACCTCCACACAAGTTATGTGCACATCAGTGGATTCTCCATCTGCGGATAGCGGCAGGTTCGCAGCAAGCTTTCGAAGGATGTATGCGCCGTGTTCGAGAGGTGCGCGCGTGGGCAATGGCTCCTCTGCCGGTGTTTGTGCCATGTTGGTAGGTCAAGCTCCATGCCATCGTAGCCATGACAGGTTATGAAAGCCAGGTCGGTGTCTCCATTGCGAAGAGAAGACGACTGGAAAGCCGATTGTGCTGCCTCGAGCTTGGAGAAGCATGGAAGCTTGAGGCTGGGGTCCCGCTCCCCACCAATCGGCAGTGCCCGTGCGCCGCATCACCTCCGACCCTCAAGCTGTCCACCCGAACCCTTAATGCTTGGCTGTCGTCCAAGCACATATTGTGCCCAAAACCACCAGCATTTACCGCCTGAAGCCCACTTCCGTGACATCGTACGTGAATAAGTAGAAAATGGAGGGAGGCGTCGACGTGGGGGACGATACACATCAGGCCGAGCGACCAGTAGAACACGAAGGAGATGCAGCAGCGGACAACAAGTTCCAGACAGCCATAGGGGCCTGGAGAAGTATGTTACGCGGTCATTGAGAACAGTGCTGGGCTGACTGCTCCCAGATATTGACCTCACATCTCTCATTCCGCAGCTCGATACTGTTGCCTCGGACATTGTCACACATCAACGAGATGCGCTTACCCAGCGCAAAGACCTGGCGCAGAAGACCAAAGACTTCCGGAAGTTGGACGATGCAAGCAAATTGAATGATATCAAGGGACTCTTGAAGGGTATGTTGGCGGCCTCAGTCAACCACAACGGGCGCGACTGACATGTTTAGCTTACCAAAGCTTCATTGATGTTATCTCCAACCAGTCAAAGACCGTCCAAGCGGCGTTCTTTCAGTTGTACTCGCCTCTGTCCGAAGCGCCCGATCCATATCCACTATTAGAAGCCTCCGTCGACTCTCTCGTGACCGCTGAGGAGACCCTCCCGAAGCTTACTTCCGAAAACCAGCATCTACAGAAGACGGTCGCCAACCTAACGATCCAGCTAGAACAAGCCGAGAAGAAGCTGGAAGAGGAGCGCACCGCTCGCAAGTCACTGGAGGACACGCGAGACTCCAAGATCAAGGAGATCGAGGCGTCATGGTCAGCGGTTCTCACAGAGAAGCAGGATAACTGGGAAGCTAAAGAGAAAGCATTGGAAGAGAAGTTGGAAAGTCAGGACAAGTTACTGAAAGAGTTGAAGGCCAGCTACGAGGTGGCTCAGAGACTAGGCCGCGGCGAAGAAGCCGAAGGGGATACCAACCGTGGAGCTACAGCTGCAGAACTGGAAATTGTGAGTTCGGAGCTGGAGAGGACAAGCCACCGTCTAGCAGAGGTGGAGGCAAGGAACGAACAGTTACGGTTGGAGCTGGCCCAGTCCGCATCAGCGCAAGCCACGCAGCAGATTCCTGTCGAGGACGACCCAGCTTTCCTCCGTCTACGATCCGAGAACTCGTCTCTCCTACGAAAGCTGGAAACCGCTAGATTCGAGAAGGAGCAAGAGCGCACACGTTTGGAGACGGAGACTCGCAGTTTGGAACGAGAGATCAAGTCTCTGAAGAGCGAAAAGGAGTCGCTGCGAGAGAAGGTTCAGAAGTGGAGCGACTACGAGAATGTCAAGCAGGAGCTTGAGGTTCTAAAGGTAAGACGCGCTCAGAGAGCTACGTCGTGCGATCAGGAATGGCTAAATCTTGCAGTCCATCGAGTTCGCAACCGGCGACGACGACGATGACGCTACCGAAGAGGGACTCCCACAGAACGGCCCCTCCAGCAAAGGCAAAGGCGAAACCCTCGAGCAACTCCTCCTAGCCCGCAACAAGAAGCTCAGCAACGAGCTCACCGTCCTCCGCGTCTCGCACCAGGACCTGCAAAGCCGCCTCGAGGCTCTGCAAGAAGAACTGTCCTCCACCAACATGGAGCTGGAGAAATCCAGAAACCTCAACGAAACTCTGGAAGCGGACCTCGAAAAGGTTCAGCGCGAAGCCGCCAACGCCTTCGACTCCTCAGCCATGTCTGTAGCCGGAACATACACCTCGCGCTACCCGCAATCCTCCTTCGCAGGCACTCGTCGCGGTGGCCGCTCCACCTCTCCCACATCCTCCATCATCTCTGGCTTCGACCCTGCCTACTCTTCCTCCAACCCCACCCTCGCCTCCCTCCGCGCAGGCGACTCGGGCGCTCCAGGGGGTCCCCAAGGCATCCTCCCCATGATAACCGCACAACGCGACCGCTTCAAGAAGCGCAACGCAGAGCTCGAACACGAGCTCCAGAAATCCTACAAGACCATCTCTTCTCTCCGCTCCGAGATCTCGGCGTTGCAGAAAGACAACCTCGAGCTTTACGAGAAGACGAGATATGTCTCGAGTTACAACCGTGCAACGGGGACATCGGCACAAGCCGCTTATAATAATAGTAATCATACGAATCCATCGACGATACAAATCGCCCCGGATACAAGTTCCGGCCTCACCATGGATCGATACCGCTCCGCCTACGAGAGCAACTTATCCCCATTTGCGGCGTTTCGCGGTCGCGAGTCTGCGAGGGCGCTGAAGCGCATGTCTGTCTTTGAGAGGATGGTGTTGCGCGTGACGAAGCTGGTGCTGGCGACGAGGACGAGTAGGAATCTGTTTGCGCTGTATTGTTTGAGTTTGCATTTCCTGGTGTTTTATATGCTGTGGAGTGATGCTTCAGGGTCGGGGATGGGGTCCGTGGTTGTGCCCGCTGGACCGGCGACACATCTAGGTGGGGGACCTGCTGCAGGGGGTGGTGGAGGTGGTGGAGGTGCTGCGGCTGTGGCAGGCAATGAAGCTGGCCCTCTGCAGGGATGAGAGTGTGAGGTATGATATTGATGATTTTGCTGCTGTACCGCTAATAGCGAGCGTGTATCATTATGGCGCTCTCCTAAGAATCTTCTAAGGTTCGGGCAGGAGGCGTTATTGTGCGCCGATAACCCTTCCATCTCAACTGCGAGAGCTGCTGGGTTTTAGTCACCAGGCCCATCTGCAAACCCATTGATGCTTAGTGGTATTAATATTTCCTACATGACGATACGAGTACCATGGATAACCTCCCTACGCTATATCGAGTCCAGTCTTCTCATCAACGAACAGTGCATTCCAGGCTTGGTATGGAAAACCAGCCACACCTGAACCCAAAAGATGAAACCAACGCCAGAGAATGCACTGTACAGTGTTAAGCCAACCATTCCCTCACCTTCCTCTCAAATAAAGCCCTTTCCCATCATTCCTCCTCATCAGTGGACCACGCCTATTTCCAGAAATAATAAAGGGTCGAGTACTCAACCTGGAAATCCCCCTGTCGTTCCTCGCACGTCTTCGGCGCCATGCCACCTGCAGTATGAATCCGATAAACCTCCTTATAGTCGCCCTCCACAGCAGTCAACTTCAACCACGGCACGCTTCCAAGGCCATTGATCCCCTTGGGCGCATTCGCAGGCGCATCTGACGCCCCCGCCTTCTTCGTCAGCACAAACCCGTACTTATGCTGCTCGGTGTCGAGGACAAATAGTGGGACACCTGCGGCGGTGAACTCGTGGTGGCCAGAGACGAGACGCTTGGAGACGTCATTTTGCGGGATAGCATGCGCCAGAGCGAGGGCTGGGGTGTCGGCCAGGACAGCGGGCGAGCGGACTGATTCACAGGTTACATTGAAGAGCTGGGCTTTGGCGCCGACTGCGACAGGAGTCTCGGTCGGTGAGGCGGTTTTGCAGGTATAGTTTTGAGTTCCGCGGCCGAGGGCTACGTGGGCAAGTTGGAGGCCGGGTGCTGGTTCGGGGAGGGGTGTGGGTGCTGGAAGACATGTTAGTGATATTGATTGGACATAATTTGGAGAAGCAGCATACCAATAGGCATCTTTGCATTTGATAGATCGCAGACCCCGTCTTCCAATATCTTAATGACATTGGCGTGGAGCCCACGTCTTGCGAGGATATCTGATATCGAATCCGCCGTCTTAGTGGGAGCAGCGAGTATGGTTGCTGGCGCAAGCGCCAGTAGGACGGAGATGATTTTTGTGAAAGTCATGGTATCTGGGGTGTGGAAATCGAATTGCTGATGGCGTATGAAAAAACGTGGAGTTTCCTTAACCCTTCGCAAATAGATAGAATTTCCGCGTAGGATACGTTCAGGTCGATTTGAGGGCTGCCGAGTATTCCAAACTTTTCCAGAGGAAGGGTAGGAAAGGCGAGAGACCGAAACAACAAGGAAACCGAAACAACAGAAGAAACCCCTGGACGTTTCCTTGACGGCTGGATGCGAGAGGAAACATTCTTAAACGCCCTCTTCCTTCCCATATATACATACACCCGTCCAGTTCCCTCTCTCTCCAACCGTTCTGTTGTTTAGCGCCACGGTTAGCCAAAAATAGGGCAAGGAAAGGTGATTGGCTCTCCAGCATCTTCAACATCTGTGCGCTTAGGCGCACGGTGCCCTGGTGACAAGCTTCCGAGCCGCGTAGAGATCGTTTTAGCCGGAATGGGCAAAGCTGCCGCCCTGAGATGGCACGTCTAGATCGAGTTATTTTGGGGCAATTGCAGCAGTTAACTTTCGAAATAGTAGTGTGCTGATGGATCAGGAACCTCGAACAAGGGATTGTTTGCGCTTTTGTGTGCATGGGAAATCCACAGCCGTTTGACATAGCGATGAAGGGGTGCCAATTCGTGAGTTTCCGTGAAGGCCTATTCCCCCTCAATTTCGTGTAACCCGGAGCCTTCAACAGTCGTTGTCGTCCCGTGCATGCCCAGGTGCAGAGCCGCCGGTGCGACCCTTCCCCACTCTCCTGTTGGCCCCTAAAAGACCCATAACTACCCGCCGAGGAAATTCTGTAGCCAGGTCGTTAATTAACCTTATTTTAGACCTCCAGGGGGAACATAATGACAGCAAATCTCCGTGTTGGTCGACCATACTGTAAACCAATAACTTGCCTTCAGCGGCTACGAGGCGGCCCTCTGATTGGAAACTGTTTTCGGTTGCATGTTTCGCGTCCGCGCGCCTTGGGATGGAACTCCGGAAGCGAGCATTGTTGTACACTACGACAGGAACCATCAGTCGTAACCGTGGTGCTTCGAAGGCTAGTGCGAGAGAACTGGACAGGTTATATCTGCGGGCGCAGATGGTATTCGAGGCGCTTGCCAATGTCAGTGGAACGTATCTCTGGTGTTAAAACCGTGTGCACCGTCACGACCATCAGCTCTTTTTGTGGTCGTTGATATATCCGTACTCCGTACTTGTGGAAGGTTTGCTGAGCGGCCGGGCAAAGATCCACGGATTGAATGCGACATGCCCTGGGAAGCGGTAGAGAAAGCGCATTATGGCGGCTCCCGCAGTGAGGAATTAATCCGTCATCTAGGAACGACCTTGTCGATGCTCGCATTTCTGGAATGCTGATATATTTAGCTTCGCAGAGAGCGGCGACCCTCTCCTGCTTGTTTTTTCGCTCTGTTTGCCAAAGTTAGATCTCATCATCAGATTGACGACCAGATCCAAGTCCCGAAATTAACTCTCACTCCGGAGCTCTCTTTTCTCGCGCCTATGCTTCGAACTTCGCTTTCTTCCCAGGCCGTCCTTGGAAGCAGGTTCTCGTTCTCTGCACTCCTTGCGATCCTTCTTTGGCCAGTTCCGCGCGATGTCGATACGTGATCTTGGCGCAAATATCTCCAGAAAGACAAAAAGTAGGTAGTCGATGACGACGCACAGGCAGAATAATTTTCCAGCCCAAATGCCGCAGCCGTAGTATCGCTTCAGTCTCTCGATCAGTGCAAAGCTCTGAACACCAGCACGCCCACGAGTCGCGCTCCAGGCCCCACCAGCTCCGGCGCCCTGATAGAACTCATCGTGGCTTAGCACTCCACTGATGCCGTCATATACTCTTTCTGTACGTTCGGCCACGTCCGTCCATGAGTACATCTGTTTGACTTGATTGTGGAAAAGCTCGGTGCGGACCCGTCCTGCCCTCAATGCTGCAATCGCACGCCCAGTAGCTGCTACAATATCGTCCTCTTCGGGCTTCGCGAACTCGGTCATATGCCCAGGCAGGACCTCCGGTATACCACCCACGCGAGTACATACGACGTACAGTCCGCAGGAGGCAGCTTCGACTATAACGGTTCCAAATGCTTCCGTAAGCGAGGGGTGTAGGTAGATGTGGCCCTGAACCATGACGTCCCGGACCTCTTCATGGCGTATAGGCCCCAACAGTAACACTCGGTCCTGGGCAACATTCCGCTCAATCATTTGCTCAAGATCGATGGCTTTTGGCCCGCTTCCGGCAATGATAAATCGAACATTTGGATGGGCAGCAAGGATTCGGGGTATCGCAGCAACAAGCAAATCCGTCCCTTTGTTGTAGAAGAGGCGGGATATAACTACAATCGTTATGGTGTCATCTGGACCCAGGCGCGGCTTTTCCGCTGCACGATGCTGCGAGTCGTGACTGTACCCCAGCGGTCGGAAATTTTCAGCTACGACTGCGTTGGGGATAACGGAAACCATCAGCGGGTCCAAGGAAGCTCTGAGCACTGTGTTTTCTTTGCTGCACGGGATCAGAAACGCGTCTCCAGTTTGACAAATAGGTGGCATCACTCATCACTTACCAAGTATGACTGACGCATATGCAATGGTCCACATCGCTCAAAGTAAACTTGAGGAGCTTGTTTGTGAGAATGCTTCCAGCATCAGCGAAACCAAACAAGCTGTGATCCGTGAAGACGGTCCTTAGCCCCATTGTCCGTGCATGTAGGATACCTTCATGGCAGAGGTTGCTTAGGCTACCATGGCCATGCACGATCTCGATTTGTTCCCGAATAACAATGTTCCGGAATAAGGGAAAGAAAGAGAAGAAGGTGGGGAAGGTGGTCTCGCGATACACGACGAAGAACGGCACATGGTATACTTTAAGGCCATTGGTGAGGTATCGAACACCCGTCCGGCCAGCGTATGCATGTGTGATGACAATGACTTTATGGCCTCGATCAATGAGTTTCTAAGCGGACGGTCAGTTTTTCACACGCGGCTTAGAGAGAGTCGCTTAGATGATAGCTTACGCTTGACAGCTGGTATATATGACTTTCAACTCCGCCTACGATACATGAGTTTAGAATGTGAGAGGACGGCGTGCGGTTTACCGGGTTGTGGGAAGAAGAAGTCGCTGATCATGCTGTGTATGGTCAATCAAGGTTTGACAAGGCGCAGAAAATAACCTACGCAATGTTGTAAGGCATTTTGAAAAGCGCCTACGGCTGCCCTCTTGAACTGGATACCAAGGGGCAGACATGGCCGGACACAAGATAGCGAATGGAGGAAAGTCGAAGCTCCCCACGTCATTTACTCGACAGGGGTTCGCGTACTTATTTGAACCTCCGCAAACTCTTGGCATCGACTCGTGAATTTCTCAAACCGCACGCCGGCGGATCACCAGCAACACCGCCATACAACCATGCCCGGCCCGTTATATGCCAGATGGGTACCACCGGCCAAACCAAAGGCTCAGGAGAAATCAGAATCGCTCCCCCACCCTCCCGGGAAGACATCGCAACCTACCATTGAGTCCCCCGAGCCTCTCCGCCAAAAAGAGAAGTCGAAGCGCAAGTCGACTGACCAACCTGCCCCTTCTCCGGAGTTGAAAGAAGATGAGCGTGATGCGGCAGCCAGCGGCCATACTCAGGAGGAACAGGAGAGTGGGGAGAAGCCCAAGAAGTTGAAGAAGCGAAAACGAGAGCTGGATGTGAATGACGAGATACAGGTCGAAGAAGAAGCCACGCCAAAAAAGCACAAAGCCATCCTATCCAAATTCGAGCGCTCTTATCAGAGGGCAGAGGCAATACGAGCTTCGGGGGAGCAGCATTACCCGGAAACGAGCAAGGAAGACGAACCTGCACCGGAGCTTCATGGTCAGTTAACGTCGCTTGGTCGTTGTTCAAGGTACTGATGAAGAACAGATTTAGTTCCACTTCCTCAACCTGCACCAGTCGCCGATATCCCGTACCAACCTACTTTCTCCGCTTTGCCTTCTTGGCTAGCAACACCCACTACGATTGAATCCTCCCAAACGGTATCCTTTGAAAAACTAGGTATCCACCCCAGCTTCCTGAAGAAATTAGAAAAGCAAGGATTCAGAGATGCGTTGGCTGTGCAGTCTGTGCTCTTGCCTATGTTACGTCCTGGCTATGATCAGCATCTGGGCGACATATGCGTTTCCGCTAGGACTGGCTCAGGCAAAACCCTCGCTTACCTTCTTCCCATCATCGAGACACTGCGGGACCAAGCTGTCACGACGCTCTCCGCAATCATTGTAGTCCCTACAAGACAACTCGTGGATCAGGCATTGAAGGTTGCCGAGGAGCTCTGCGAGGGCACAAAACTGAAGGTCGGGACCGCTCTAGGCAGTGTTCCCTTTGCATCTGAGCAGAAGCAATTGGTCAAGGTCAGGGCTCGATATGATCCACAAAGAGCAAAGGAACTACATGATAAAGCCTCTCGGCAGATGAAAAGCGCTTTAGGTGGTCGCGGTGGCATCTTCGATGACCTTGCAAAGGTCCCAAAGGACCATGTTCCCCAATATGACTCTGGAGTTGACATTCTCATATGCACCCCTGGACGTCTTGTTGAGCACATTGAATCTACTACTGGATTCCTCCTAAGGTCTGTTAGGTGGCTTGTCATTGACGAAGCAGATCAGCTCATCGCGCAAAATTTCCAAGGCTGGGCTACTGCGCTAATGGACGCTTTGCATGACGATACGCCAGAGGACTTCATGAACACCCAAGAGCGCCTAAGAAAGCAAAGACGAAATCTAGATTGGGCTCCCGCTTTGCCTGATCGGACGCATATTACGAAGGTTGTCCTAAGTGCCACGATGAAGAAGGACCTCACCAAACTCGGGACCCTGCGTCTAAGACGGCCCAGACTGGTGGTCGTTGAAAATGATAAAGAAGATCAACCGTCAGCACCCGATGGTGAGGTTTACGAGCTCCCTAGCACCCTTGCTGAATATGCCATCCCAGTGGGTGACGGCTCCAAAAAACCATTATACCTCCTATTCATCCTTTTGCGTCACATACTCAACTTAAACCACCCAATGGAAGAGAAGACCGACTCGGGTTCAGCGAACTCCTCATCGGAGGAGGACTCGGAAGCCGAACCAAGCTCCAAGGCCGACTGCACCTCAGCCTTGTCTAGCGACCGGAGCCGTATCCTCGTCTTCGTCAAGAGCAATGAGAACGCATCCCGCCTCGCACACCTCCTCTCTGTCCTTGAACCTCCCCTGCAGCCCTTCGTCAAAGCCATGACACCCGGCGCAACCACGAAGCAGTCCCAGAAGCTTCTGCGCTCCTTCGCGGCTGGCAGAATAAAAATTCTCATCGCTTCGGACACTGCTTCTCGCGGCCTCGACATCCCAGATATCACCCACGTTATCAACTACGACATGCCCGGCAGCATAATCAGCTACGTCCATCGGGTAGGACGAACGGCGCGCGCGGGTAAACAGGGGCAGGCAATGACATTGGTTGCGAAGAACGAGGCAGGGTGGTTCTGGAATCAAATCGCCAAAGGGAGCAGCGTGAAGAGGGTGCGTGGGACAAAGGTCGTGAGGGTCGAGTTGAAGGAGCGCGACGTGACATGGGACAGGAAGAGGACGTATCAAGAAGCTTTGCAACAGCTCCAGGGGGCCGTTGAGGGGAATCCCGATAACACGGAGGCGTGAGGGCGGGCCTATATCACCTACGAAGGACCCTGCGGTGTAGGTCTCGTTGTGTTCGTGGCACCACCACCCTCCCCTCGTGCGCTGAGTCCTGCCGTGGAACACTTGACCCCTCACTCTCACCCACCACGCCGCTTTCAACAATTTGTAAGCTCGCTTCGTCGACCGACATTTCGGGCTCCGAGATGCGGAGTATACCTTTCTGGTGTCCACAGCTGTTGTTGATCGGTGTGACGGACGACGCACGGAACGTGTCTGGACCCACAGCTAGCTAGCAACGGCAAACTGGCAACGGCGCACAACAGTAATTGTCATTTCCTGGTCCTGGCTCGGTCGCCCCGTCCTGCATCGGTCAATAGCAAAAAGAGTATCTCCAGGCTCGTGAGAGTTCGTCGGGCCCGCCGTTGAATCGCAAACCCCATGATTGGTGCCATGGCCAGCTGGCCGCTGCATAGTCTGCCAAGGTGGGCTGTAAACTGCAGCGTCGTTTCTTTCGGTCGGTTGCATTTGCTCAGAGTCTAGGAAAGCCGAAGCTGCAGACACATGTGGGCTTGAGGTTTGAGGAGGGGGGGATAAGCTGTGCCGTACGTGTGGACGGCTGACGGTTATCAGTCATCACGACTGAATTTTACGTCCGGATCACGCCAGTCTGCTCACAGTTTCCTGTTTCGGATACCCATCAAATGCTCCAGTACGGCGTAGACGGAAAATGTGTTCCGGCGTCGACCAGCCATGGTTGTCACGGTTTATAAATATCCCCAACTGCGGCGTAGCGGTTCCGTGTGCACTTATTGTCTCTTGCTGATGTATTGTGTTCCTGATGGAGAGACTTGCATGCCTGCTGATCGAAAGAGGACGCCGTCTACGTGAACCCTGCCGCTTGATATGCCATCGATAACTCATCCCCGTCCTTGCATATTGTTGACTCAGATCTTCGGTGAGAATCAAGGTTTGATGCTTAACCACGAATCAATATCTCGAATCCTTAATAAAAGTCTACGCCCCCTTGGCATGACTACGCCTTACACTTGCTTAACCTACGCGTCATCATTGGACTCCACCCTACACCGCGATACGACACGCTTACTCTTACCGACTCCTTGCCGATCCCGCCATGTTTCTACTTCCCGAGCTAGGAAAAACCCGCAGCAAAGTCCGAGCACATGACGGGCGCGATATGCAGGAGCGGGTTCTGAATCACATTTGTATGTTAAACCTGGTTGCATGTTCGGGGAACGGCTTTGCCGCCAAAGTAATAGCTTGTTTTCTCTAGGGCGGTGGAAAGTGCGAAGGCGAGGATGATGAAGTTTCGCAATGTCATGCTGATAGAGTGCTTTAGTCGTTCCCATTACTGAAGAGCAAGGAGGTTCCATTCACTCGTCTACTCGTCTGGGTAGTAGATGTATATACAGGTAACGAGGGCAATAATTCTGCTCGGTTTTAGACTCCACTATGTTTTGGAACTCTCCGTATCAACACGTTAACTTGTAATCATAACAGCTAATACGGAGTATGGCTTTGGAAATCCAAAAAGTGTCATATACTCCAACCTAGAAGGTGATCATTGATGCCCTTCTCCGTCGCTCAACCCTAGTAGTGCACATTCCCCGTCGCAAGATAGCAGTATAAAACTCTAAGCTTGAGTAAGTCTAGTTTCACGCTCAAATGATGATATAAGTTACAACAACTTCTGGAAGCGGACATTTGCAAGCTTGTCTAGGTGACAGCGATGGATCTACTTATTTTGCCAGGGTTTCTCTAGATTTTGTAAATCTATGCCCCCGAGGTGACCCATATCATATTTAGTGCTCTTCAGAGCCTAACTTGCGCGCTCCAACGAAGCACTCATATATATATGTATAATGGGTCACCAGGCCTAATTAAAATTGGCAATGAAATTGGGGTTCTCAATAGTACATAGGTTCCAAAGATCATGTATTACCTCCGGTGTCATCCCACACGCGAGGTGAATTGTACGCAGGACCCGTGGCAGATACTCCCAAGCACACATAGTGTGCAAATCATGACTCCAACTGCGCTCACCAAGCCACGTCACTCCTGCCCCCGATAGATCTCTCCCTGGAATTGAAAGTTGGAAGTCCCTATTTAACTATGCCGACCGGTGCCGATCACAGCCCATCAACGGCATTCCTCACGACCCAGAAACTCGCACCAGCACGACTCGTACGTTACACACGACTGACTCCAACCATGTCGATACCAGACTGTCGGAGCCGCGACATGCGCGGTGTCCGACAACCGCCACCATAGACGGCCGTGTGCCCTCAAGTCGGTCTTCACCATTCCTCTCGTCCATAGCGATGTGTAACGCCGCTGCTGCGAATCGAAACGTTTGGTACTGTGACATCAACGCCTGTCGAACTGTGTTCGTTGTGGACTGCATGGAATATGTGACGTAAGCCAGACTCTCTGAGAATTTGAAGGGGTAACACAATGTCAGCCTCATCATGGTGCCGCACCGTGGGTGTCTGTCAGAGATACGCGAGAGTTGATAGATGGTGCAAGAGAAGATCGATATTCGACTCCCAAATGTGGTGTTTTGGTCACCTAGAGCGTGGAGGCGTCGTGTAACTTGAAAATCGATAAAGCTCCACTCGACCCAAGTTGCCAGCATCCTTGCGTAAACACCATGTGCAAGTACCAGACGAGCGGTGTCGAGGAATTAGGTTGGCCGATTCAGCACTCCTATTCGTCCTTCGATTGCGCTGAAGGTATTGATTCCGAGAGACGATAACACCACTCATGCGCCCGTTCTCCCATTTGATACTTCCATAGAGAAGAGCATGCCATCAATCCCCATATGACCGGAACGTAAAGTTGACGGAAAATATTGGATCGCTAGTAGCGGGTGTGTATAACAAAGCCCAGGTAGGTACATTTGACACCGTGCTGATGATAAGAAGGATGAGCAGTGGCTTTCAAAATCATTCGAAGAGTAGCTGTAATGCATTCTGAGCACTGTTGGTAGATATGGTGACCGAGGCCGGGTTCAGGCGACTGACCAAAATGGAGAGTCGTGCGATGTGAATCCATCAGCTGCAAGGGCCTGCAACCACGTTCGCCACTCATGTCCTCAAATCTTCGGTGATCTGGTTAGAAGAAGCTGAAAGCCGTCCTTGCTCAGGATTGGATTTGCCAGCCTCGTACTATGCAATCAGTAGTCGCATCAGTACGGGGTAATCAAGCTGTGGCGCTGGATCTTATCGATCCGTATGGGCCTTATATTAGCCACCTCAAGCACCTTCCATGAAAGTCGCTATTGCTGTGACAAATTTTTGGATGATACGAGAGGCCTGCACTTCTCCTGGACGGGCTTTTGCGGCTGGCAAGAGCATTTGTTAAACTGATAGGCTGGTTCTCCAGTGCTGAATTCCCGGGTGGCGTACATGACGACGACGCCAACGACGCAGATTATAAGAGCAGACTTTTAAACGAACCTTTTGACGGATGCTGCATGACACCTTGCATCCTTGATCTCGCGTGAGAAATAGCGCTTACAGGCACCGCACTGCTCCCTCTGCCAAATCGATGAGGAGATCCTACCTGCTCATGCATAAGCGAGACATTTGGAACGACGTCGCAATCACCAGTCGAGCTCGTATCCAACAATCGTAGATGTGTGACAATGGGGAAATCGGATTGGATTTCACAAGTTTTCAATATGAACCCCGGATCATTCCCGTATTCCACGATGACATGCTTATTATCGACGCTTGAGGGGGAAGCAGTATACGTCTAGACAGTAAACAAGATGGACGGAGCCAATTGTTTGGCAGTGCATAGCGAACATCGCTCAACCGCCGTGATTGGTAGTTTGACAATAGGGCAGACATCGAACGTAAACCCCGCAGGTCAAGTCCTGTCCTTGCTTTCGCTTTGCAGAATAAAGTTCACCTCGAGTCAAGATGTATGCAGAAGTAGACGACTTGTGCAACGCCCAGCTGACAGGGAAAAGCGGGCGGGCGAGGAGCTGGATGGGACTACTCCGTACTGATAGTCCTTTCTCACCAAGGGCTAATCTTTGATATATCGAGCCATGTGCGATGAACGATCCTGTGGCTTATATTAGATTGACCCCCGAGACCGAGAGTCAACGTTAGAAATCATGCTGATGTATTTATGGCTTTCGTCTGGATTTCGTGGCATGTCCGCCAAGTCTGTTATATACGCTGCATATGGTTGGATTGCGGAAGGCCCGCCGCTACCTCGCGACCGTCGATCTAAGCAGGGCTATACACGCCATCGACGGGGAGACGGATGCTGAGCCAGCGGTGACAAATAGCTCGCTTTGCGGGGAATCGGGGTAAACCATCCGCACCTGTTTATTTCTTCTTCTTTTCCTTCCTCTTCTTGTTGTCGGCGCCGCTCCCCGAGCCACTCCCGCCTGCTCCCGCCTCGCCTTGCATCTCGGCCATCATTTCTTGCAAGAAGTTCTCCTGAACGCCACCACCTGAAAGAGCGGGCGAATGAAGCGGTAAGATCGAATTCATCTTCCATCCTTTTGGAACAGCGGGCACTGGTAACGAATCCTTCGGGAGAGGAAGCCCGGCTATCCGCAGTTTGAGTGGTGTATCTTTGTTTGTAGGGTGCTTCTTGAGGTACTGCGCCATGAGAATGTAGAGGTGATGCTTATTCGAGATGTCTCGATGCATCAGCTTGCCATTCTGCTTCAACAAAACGCGTATACGGCCTGGATTGCTCCAATCCTTCGGGTGCACCTTATCCGGTTCAAGGGCGGTTTCCAGACCCAAGCTGGCAGCGGCATCAGCCATCTCTCGTGCGAGCGGGTTGTCTACAGCCAACGCTTGCCCAACCCTACGCCCTTCGGCACGTGTACGGGACCGGTCGAAGTATACAGGATAGAGACATTGGTAGTGTTTCGACCTTTCTCGATTGGGCGAGGCCCGTACCGCATGTGATTGAGGTTGCAGAAGGTGCTGGGGTACTTGTGCGGAGGCGGGAATGTCGGACGCGCGGATAAGGGAGGGCACTTCCGAGATGTCAACTTCTGATGGTTCGCTGTCCGACTCTGAGACTTCTTCAATCCGTGGATTCATGACGGAAAGTGCGGAGAAACGCTTGACACTAGACTGTCTCAGTGAATGTGGAGCGGAGTGGGCATTTTAAACAGCTTCATACCTAGAGTAACCGTATGGGTTGTGACGGAGAAAGCGCAATGAAGCCTTGCGGTACGTTCTTGATGATCCGTGAGTTTCGGATTGTGTGCAATGTGGGGAACCGTGAACAGCTGGAGGGTCGCACGGTGGCACCTGCAGGATACTTGGGCTTGGCGCTGAAACTTACGCTAAGCCCGTTCTGGGAACACAGTCCCGCCGGGCGGTCCGTCAACACGTCTTCAAGGTCCTCCGGCCCGATCAACAAGCCTCCGAGGAGCTTTCCGAGCGGGACCCAATGGTTCATCCTCACGTATACGTACTCCGTATCGACTTCACCAACATGAAGAAGCCTTCCAACCCTCAGGTGCTCTGTGCCCTGCATAACGTCTTCACCGCTGAGGTTGGTTCTCTGACCGCCGTGGTTCCTGTTATCAATATCCCACGCGACATCCCGGACCCTGTTCTCCGTACACATGGTAAGACAAGAGAGGGAGGGGGCCGCCAACATGAGCAATACCTAATGCTGGCTTACTGCAACCATTCTCTCTGGTTATGGATGTAGCACCGACGACTCGCACGGGCCCTAGACGGCCTGACAGTGGCATAATTTGGTATGCACCGGAGTTGAATTCAATCTGCAGTCGCTCTCTACTCGGTTGTGGATCCGTGAAGCGCCGTGGTGGCTCACCGCTGGCACAGCAAAAAGGCCCACGAACAACATGAGTTACCGTGTTTAAGGGAAGCCCGCCAAGCTTATTCGCCCAGGCCCGTGGATAATATAATTCGAGGATTATAACACCGTGCACAGGCTATTCGCTATCCGGGTCTCGTGATAGGACCACTTTCAGGGAACAACATCCCAAAATGCATTCCGACAAGTTGGAATGAGGCAACGCCACTTCCGCCGCACAAGTCGGTGTGATGGCAACTCCTTCACGGTGGGGATGGTGTATGTTATTATTTGGATCGCCTGGTTGCTGCCACGCCGCGGACAAGATGCATGCTGCGGTGAGCCATACTTTGTACCCTTCAATTGGACCACTACTACTCCCATGCAATCAAATGCCGATTGGTCGACATGACGACAGATGTCACGTACACGGGCACCAAACTTTTGATTGAAAATGTGTAGGAAAGTTCGCAGGACTCGGGGGGAGGAGTTCATAGGGCTGACATCGGACGGGCCGATATTGTTGTAGGCAAGTTGTAACCTGGACAGGGGCATTTGACCGGAGGGAAGCGAACTTTGCCTCACTTGTTCCCTGCGAGCGTGAAATCCTGTCTACTGTGCCGCCCTGGCACCACCCTCCCCGATCACTGGCGTGAATGCAATCTGTAGGTGGCTCCATGGACCGGGGATTGCCGCCAGGACGTCAGCTACACATTCGTCGACAGACGATTGCCCAATTCGTCCAAATGCAGGTCCACGTTCTGGCACTGGCTGTTTGCACAACCACTTCAACAGCTCTTTGAACGTCAACCATGAGACAAGGTCGACTGGATAGCACTCGTCAAGACCGTTTGAGACTGTGCGGCAAGCCGAACGGACCGGTCTGACTGAGAATGGCCGGGCCGAGCAATTGTGGAGACAGGTATCGTTCGACGATTACCATGAGTCGTTACGCCTCCTAGGGTGACTGTGCGGAACCTATGATATACTATACCCTGGATCGCCAGGTCTCACGCTAGCCGGTCATGCTGGGCTTCCTCTTTGTCTATAAGAGCGAGCGATCCCCTGACAATCTGGACACCCGGTCTTCACATATGAGGTTTGACCACACCTGTAATCAACTTCACACCAGCCGACTTCAGGAAGACGCACACATTCGAGTTGCCAGACAGTAGGAACAACCAACATGACACCGTCCCCTGCGAATTGTCCAAATCCTCCGAATGTTGCTTCCAATTCAACCAGCAGGCTTCTGTTTGGTAGGTTGCATCATCCGGGTCCATTACGCCTACGTCAAAAGGGCAATTGGCAGTACTTCCAAGACGGGACCAAGTTTTTCGATGCCTCCGGAACCGCTGCCACTGCGTGCTTGGGATTTGGGGACAAACGGCTCTTGAAGGCGAAACGCAGCCAGGAAACCACCGCCCCCGTTGCGGATGAACTCATTTTCCGGACGCCCGTGGTAGAGGAGTTGGCACGGAGATTGATCGAATCCACTGATGGCAAAATGGACAGAGTCGGATTCTACTCTTCGGGTAAGGCAGCAGGATTGGCATTCAATGTGCGCCTGCCAGCTAATTCTGGACAGGTTCCGAGAATAACGAGGCCGGTGTCAAGCTGGCTCGTCAATATCAGTTTGACCGGGGTGAAAGTCAGCGGGATTGGATCATTGCCAGAAAGCGGTCGTACCACGGTAATACCATCACCACTCTTTCCATCAGTGGCTACGAAGAAAGGCAAGAGAAACAGAAGCCCCTTTTCAACTCAAAAGTCAGCTACGTGAGCGCGTGCTACGAATACCGTGATCGTAGGCCATGCGAAACCATTGAAGAGTTCGTGGAAAGACATTCCAGGGAGTTGGATGCCGAATTCAAACGAGTTGGACCCGAAAGAGTTATTGCATTCATTTGTGAGCCTGTCAGTGGTGCTGTAAGTGGCCAATTCTCTCAGTCTACATTGGGCCCTCATGACCCTCATTCGACTTTTTCTGCAGCATGGAAATGCACCAACTCTCGCAATGGGAAACTCAAGCTGTCGCTAGTCTGTGCGAGAGGGCTAATATTGCATTATCATACAACTCCTGCATGCAACATACACACCATTTACAGCCATCTAATTCAACTTACTAACTGGACACTAGGCACTGGCTTGTGCCAAATTCGTTCCGGGCTATCTTAATGCAATGCATGCAGTCTGCAAGAAATACGGCGCCCTCATGATTGTCGACGAAATCATGTGCGGTGCTGGGAGGTGCGGAGGCACCTACCATGTGTGGCAAAAGGAAGAAGGTTTTGTACCCGATATCCAGACGATGGGCAAATCCTTCTCAGGAGGCCACGCCGTGATCGGTGCCGTGTTGGTGAGCCGTCGTGTGAGTGCTCAGATCGAGGGAGCGTCCGGGATGTTCCTCCACGGGCATACGTTTCAGGCTGAGCCATCAGCGTGCGCGGTTGCGCTCGAAACCATGAGGATTGTTGAACCTCTTCTACCAAGGGTCGAGCAGTTGGGTGTGAGACTCTTGAAGGGATTGTACCAGCGCCTCAAGGACCATCCGAATGTTGGCGATATTCGCGGGGAAGGGTGCTTTTTGGCGGTATGCCTTGTCTTTGCGTTAGATGCACTGTCGATCCCAAAACTAACTTCTCTCAGCTCGAATTCGTCAAGGACAAAGCAACCAAAGAACCTTTCGACCGCGGGATGGAGATTACCGACCGGATATTCGAGAAAGGTATGCACCTGTGAATGCTCACTCCGTCTTTATCCCTACTAAGCTCCGAGGACAGGTATATCGGACTATCAGATCCGCGTGTACAAAAGTACAGGCTTCATCCTCCCCTCTGGCCGGGGGGACGCGATCATCCTCGCACCTGCGTTCAACATCAGCAACGCCGTGGCCGACTACATTGTCGACAAGGTGTGCAGTCTCGTCGAAGACTTCTTCCATGAACTCGAGAACCCGCCACTGCCTCTATCGCCGGGTAACAGCTCCGTTGTATCAGTCAAGGAGAGCAGCAAGGCGTTATCGACTAGGTCCCGGTTCTCCAGAGCGTTTGGCCGTTTCTTGTGCAACTGCTAGTGTCTTGGGGTAATTTCCTTCAATTTCTCTGTGCGGCGGTTATGTCTATGTCCCTTACTTCCCCTATTTTCCTCCCCTTTTCCTTCTTTCTTTCTTCTTTGATTAGATGCCTCTACGTTTCTCTTTCCAGATTGATACTTCTTTCTTTGGTACCTATTCCGGCTTCATTTCCCATGCTGTCAATTTCATATTTTCTGGAAGGTCCAGGTGAGCATTACGGGAGGCTATTCTGCTGTGCATTTCCCAGGACTGATTGCTTCAAAAGCTAAGACGAGGTTCCATCTGGGCGGTCACTCTGATTCTTCAAGCGGATACAAAATGGTGGATTGTCTGTGTATTTTGTTCTCGAGCGTATGCATACCTTGTCGGTTGCACGGAGGGGAACTTTGCTTTTCGCTGCTCCATTATTGTGTGCCATTATATTTAGGTTTTTCTTCTTCTTCTTCTTTCTTTGGTGTAATGTATTAAAGTCTCTCTCATAATACTTTGTTAGCTTAGAGGTTGCCGTGGTTCTAAGCGATGCATGACGAGGACGTGAATTATGCATATTCGACATTGCATGTGCTACACGTGTGCCAGCAGAGAGCCTTCTTCACTCATAGAAAGGTAATGACGCAAGCAGAGGAACTTCAACCCAGCAATCCTAGGTTTTCCTTCCTATCTTAAACCCGTAGAAGGCAAGTCGCCACCACCCCTCCTCCTCTCACCGGTCTTGGCAAAACCGACGACAAGCCAACCAGGCCCGCCCGTTCCGGAAACGAAAGCAGCAGATACGACACTGTAACCAGAGCCTTATTATACGCCGCAGCAGCGCACAGCACCGCAGCAACGCACAGCACAGCACAGCACTTCCGTATCACGGGCAAAAGGCAGGCAGCCGAATACCTTATAGAGCCACTGCAGTACTATATTTCCTGTGAGATAATGGAACTAGAACTTTACGATTTCCAAAGCCTTTGAGCAAGCGTCACGGGTAGAGAGGGTCCTTATCGCTATCAGCGAGGGCGAGGCCATGGGGCGATAGATGCATTCAGGGAGCGGGGAAAAAGCCAACAGCAGGTGTGCTGAGTGAGAGGGCAACCAAGCCCTTAGATGGAGGACTGCGGGCTGCTGAGCGGTGGAGGCGAGGGGAAAACGGTGAATGGTGGGTAGGAGGGAGCAGCGTGGTGGGTGGATGAGGTCATCCAATCTAGCCACTCTGGTGACTTTGCTGTGTGGTGGGGAGTGTGCCCAGGTTGGGTGCTGTTGCGGATTTGGATGGGCCTGCAGGAATGGGTGAAGGACCAGAACATTTGTTGGAAGCAAACATGGTGCGAGGGGCGTGGGCTCACATCAGCGATGGGTGATGTGCTGCTTGGGTCCACTTGTTCCTCCAGTGATGTTTACTATGATAGCTAACGATGATGCAAGCGGGAGAGATGTTTTCAATTTTGCCTCCTCTGCTGGTGGAGAGGGAGAGGGACCGGATTGGGAGTGCGCACGTGATTGGACTCTGCCCAGTTTTTTGTGTGACCCTGCCCAGGTGAATTCATCATTTCAGGGCCTTTTCGTACGGAAGGTTTAGCGCCCAGGACCCTGCAGAAGCGTTTTTCATCAGATGGCACAAATGGTCGCAGCAAAACGAAAGGGAACATTCCATGTGCTTGTACTGAGGGACGTTTCACAACTGGGGCTTCGCCTCGCACCTGAAGTATCTACTTATTGCGCAGGGGCCCATCAATACGGGGAGCCTTCTGCGGAGATGAGGCTCTGATGGGTCGTCTGGCCGACGCCGGAGTGCTTGGGGGAGACGTGTTCTTGTCAGCCGGGCGGAACGGTTACCACGGTGAGGATTTCTGAGGGGCAGAAGACATGCAGAAGAGAGAGAGGACCAGCGGCGAATATGAAAGTGGCATTTCCGGCAGCGGGCTGCTCGGATGAATTCGACAGGATTCGCTTTTTCTTGGCCCACCCGCAGCAAGCGCAGGTGACGCCCATCTTCTGTTATTGCTGGCCTTGGGCGGCCGCTGCTGTCTCATGGCCGCCAGCCGTCTTATATCTGCTGCCTTTTCCCCTTAGAAAAGTGCTGCAGAGATGCAGTAAGTTGGATAGATGCGTTTGACGACATGTTGGCAAGGCGTATATAGATGTTTTTCGACCGGTGCTGCTGCCATTCAAGGAGAGCCGTGCAAGGCTCGTCCTGTGAATTGGTAATGACGGGTGCCCCCAATGACGACCAGGCGGTGCCGATAGATTCGCGCTTGGACCCTCACCCACGGCTGCTGAGGACGACAAGACTGCGTAGGACACCCAGACTGCAAGAAGGCCTCTTCTCTTCCCAATGCCACCAGCCCAGCACCACCGCTCGACTCTTTGCTTCCGCTCTGGCATGCTCAAAATCCATCACATTTCCCTCGTAGCTTCTCGCTGCATCCTCCCCACGTCTTCCTCGCCTCTCGGGCGCGCCCGTCCCATCCGTCGCCCAGACGTCTGAAGCCCTTCTCCGCACCCATCCTCGACCGACCGGGTCCCTGTGATAGACTCTGCTCCATCGGCCTGCAGCCCCCTCTCTGCCATCGAACCGGCCACGACGTTATCAGCGAGCAATTCCTACACCGGCGGACCCTTCCAATACACGCCCAGCACCTGCCTCAGCGACCCCGATCGGTCGCGTTCGCGAGTGAGGCCAGGTTCGACGTATCCTCACGCCGCCGAGTCTGATTCCGAACATGTCGACACCCTCCACCGCCACTGCGACCCTCCCTCGCCCATTCTATTCTCACCACCAGACATACCAGAACATACCCAATGCACAGCTCGCGAGTGGTCCTGGTCGCATAGCCAACCCTCTTCCCTACGGCTACACCAACGGCAATTCGAATCCTGACCTCCGTCGCACCGCCACCACCCACGCGAGACCGGCTGCACAATTACCACCTCTCACCCCCAACTCCACATCCGAAACCATGAGCAATCCCCGTCCCCCGAGGAAGCGGAACCCCGACTGGGGTGAGTTTTACAAACACGGTCTGCCCAAGGAGGTAATCGTCATCGACGACGATGACGACGACGTTCCCGCACGACCTCCTCCGCGGCAGCAGCCCCCTTCGAGGAATGGCACCAATGGGACCGCCAATGGAGTCCATCGGCCCGCAGACAAGAAGAGAAAGACGGCGGCTTCATCCGCCTTCGATCCCGTATACAGCCAACATACCTCGTATTCCACCACACAAACTCCCTATTACGATTCACCCAATCAATCCATCGCTACAGACAGAACGGCCTCCGGTTTGAATACCACCGCCGCAACTTCACTTGGTTCGCAAGCCGGCAGTGGCCAACAGATTTCGCCCCTTGGCAACGGTGTTGTAGGCCAGAAACGGAAGCGAACAAGAGCGGCAGCACAGGATGAAGCCAAAGAGGCGAAGCGGCGGGAGCTGGACAACGACGATCATCCCTTCAGCCTCTACCAGCCTCCGCCCAATCCACCTATCAAGGCGAAGGATGTCTACGTGAAGGTGATTCCAGACGTAAGAGTCCCCACGCTCTACACTCATCTTTCGATCACTGACGCCCAACAGAAGTCGTATATGAAAGACCAGAAAGTCGACGACGAAGATGGTCATTATATCGTCGTCGCCGATGCGGATCTAACAGAGAAATGTACGTCTACCGATATTCCATTGGGCATACCCGGCTGCTGACCGCCATCAGATACCATAACGAGGCTGCTCGGTCAAGGAACATTTGGCAAGGTTGTCGAAGCATACGATAAGACGAAGGGCACAAAGTGTGCCATCAAAGTCATCAGATCGGTGCAGAAATATCGCGATGCCAGCAGGATTGAACTGCGGGTGTTATCCACACTCGCCTCAAACGATAAGCACAACGCCAACCGATGCATCCATCTCCGGGACTGCTTCGATTTCAGGAACCATATCTGCATCGTAACCGATCTATACAGCCAGAGCGTCTTCGACTTCTTGAAGTCCAACGGATTTGTTCCTTTCCCCAGCTCGCATATCCAAAAGTTTGCGAAGCAACTATTCACGAGCGTGGCCTGTACGTGCTTTCTCTGGCCTCATGAAACCTGCAGCCACTAACAGGTGCAGTTTTGCATGACCTCAACCTCATCCACACTGATCTAAAGCCGGAGAATATCTTGCTGGTCAATAGCGCCTACCAGACATTCACATATAACAGGACCATCCCTTCGTCGTCACAGCAGACCAATCGCACTGCTCGACACAGGAAGGTGCTACTTGACCCTGAAATCCGGCTGATCGACTTTGGGTCTGCCACATTCAACGACGAATATCACTCGTCTGTTGTATCCACCCGCCACTACCGTGCGCCAGAGATTATCCTCAATCTTGGATGGAGTTTCCCATGCGATATTTGGAGTATAGGGTGCATTCTCGTCGAGTTCTTCACGGGCGATGCATTGTTCCAGACCCACGACAATCTGGAGCATCTGGCCATGATGGAGGCGGTATGTGGTGGCAAGTTGGATAGGGATCTCATCAAGCAGGTGTACGCCAAGGACAGGACATCACGCAACTCAGCTGCCTCGTAAGCCTCCCACTCCTGAAGTCTTTCTGCATACAAATCTGACCGTCAGTGCGCGCAGGTATTTCAAGAGTTACAAGTTGGATTACCCAAATAGCGAGACGCCGAAAGCATCCAGAAGGTTTGTGAAGGCGATGAAGAAGCTCGATGTAAGCCACCCTCTATGTTGATCTCTTCGAACAGCTTGCTGACTTTGTTTTTTAATAGGAAACCATACCTCCCGTCACCCCCTTCAACCGACAATTCCTCGACCTCCTCCGCCGCATCTTCGTCTACGATCCCAAGAAGCGGATCACGGCCAAAGAAGCCTTGCAACATCCCTGGTTCAGGGAAACCCTCATGGATGACGGAACGGAGGCTACCAAGATCCGGCTGGAGAAGGAGAGGAAGGCGAGATTGGAGGAAGAGGAGAGACAGTTGCGGTTGCAGAGGGAGGCCATGGAGGAGGAGCAACACCGGCAACAACAGCAACAGCAACAGCAGCAGCAGCAGTCGAGGTACCATCGGGATCGAGTGTATTGATGAGATGGACGCTTCTGGGAATTTTTGTTTTTTTTTCGTTCTTCTTCTTCTCGAAGAAGCGGGTGTGTGGAGAGTTCGAGATATATGATAAGAAGCACTCTTATATGGTCATTGTGGCATTATGGTTATGGAGGGAAAGGGCAGGCATGGGGAGGGAGGGGCCGGGGGAAGGGGGGTTGGTTCGCCATTGTTCTTTTCATGCATATTGCAACCATTTCTCAAAAGTTGATGAGGATCCATCCATCGTATGGTCTTGGATGATGAAACGAATTGCTTTTTCGTCGACGTGGAGGCATGTAGTCTGGTTGTGGTCGTGCCGCGTCTGGGAGCACCCACGGGAGAGAGAGAGAAAGAGAGAGAGAGAGAGAGGCATGAAACAAGTAGTCTATACCTGGGAGAGGAGGCAGCTGTTTTGTGGCGCTTTTTGTATGCAGGGGAGGGTCTTTGGTCGTATGGAAGGGGGGAACGGGAAAGGGGGGTCTTCTCGGCTCTCACCGCTCTACTCTAAATTTTTTTGCATCGAGTGAAGGGTGCAAGGGTTTGTCAGAGGTCTGCATATCATGTGGATGTCGGATCGGGGATGGAGTATCGAGGTTGGGGGGTTGGGAAGACGAAGTGTGGTTAGTGGGTGAGCGAAGAGCTGCGGTCTTATCTGGCTTGGACTGGCATGTGTACTGTTATAGATTCTAGTGTGGTCCTTGGAGTGTCTTCATCTCTTGCTGGTGCTGCTGGTGCTGCTGCTGCTGCGAAGAGGTGCACCTATAGATGGGGCTTTTCGTGGTATATCTATGTATGTGTGTATGCATTATTGATTTGGTATGGGGGCGGCCATTCTTTTTCAAGAGCGAGGGACGGGATATAGATGGGGAAGTGTGGATTTAAGGGCTGACTCAAGTTCAGGGGTGTAGTATCTACATTCAAATGAACACCAAATAGTGTTGGATTATTGAGGGTAGTTGTTGGTTCCAGCCATATTCCCTGCGTCGTCGTCGGGCTGGTGAGGACTAGCCTTTGGAGGTTGGCTTTTTTCCTCCTGGCAAACATAAGCAGGAAGACGGTTCTTCGTATGTTACGCTATGCTCGAGGACGGTTTATTTAGTGGAAATATGGCGTTTGGGCTGTTCGATTCGTGGGTTCGGAGACGGAGCGAGTGATGGAGCGAGTGATGGAGTGAGTGATGGAGTGAGTGATTGGCACGTGATGTTGAGCTGGATCGAATGCGCTAGGTCGGAAGCGGTAAAGCGCGGCATAATCGATAAACATCGTGGAGCAGAGACATCTGGGTCCCCTGTCGCGTCAATCGCGGTGCGTCGCATCGTCACATCGCAAACACACGATAGACCGACGAACGGGACGAACCGCTCGCGCAAAACGACGATTGAAACCGCCCGCTTCCCTGGAAATCCAGAACCCAGAGATTTGCAAGGAATAATACCTGCGCGCAGAAAAGAGAAAGGGCGTTGCGGAAGAGGAGGGGTTCTTGCGGACATGGCGACGTCGCAAGCAGCAGCGGCAGCAGCGTCGGCGAAGCAGCAGCCGGAGAATAAGAGTGATGATGAGGTGGTGAAGGAGATGAGGAAGAAGATGTCGAAGCAGCAGGAGAATATGTTGTTGACGGAGCATTTCACGTGGCCGCCTATTGTATGTCTTCGTCTTCTTATTTCCGAGTTTTCCTCTCCATCCCCAACCCCCGAGCACTTCCCCCCCCAAGACCAAACGAAAGAACAAGCTCTAACTAGTTACTCCCTCCCAGTCCCTCATCGACGACATCATCAACGCCATCAACGAAGTCCTCTACCGCTGCACCACCATCCTCTCCACCGAGCTCTCCTCGCTCGACCCAGCCATCCTCGGTTTCGCCGACCGCGCCGCCGCCGAGCACCGCAGCTTTCCCCCGGACCAAATCGATCCCGACACCGGCAACCCACTGTACCCGGAGGCGAAGCTGGAGATTGAGGAAGGCGTGCTGAAGCTCGAGACGTTGGTCGAGAATGCCGTGGATAAGAATTTCGACAAGTTGGAGATTTGGACGTTGAGGAATGTGTTTAGTTTGGGGAGGGGGACGGGGACGGCAGCGGGGGAGGATGGGGGGTTGGGCGAGTGGATACGGTTGGGGCATTATGATGTGAGTGGAGAGTCTCTTCAGTTTCAGCGGTGGGGGAGCTGTTCGAGGGCGACAGATGCAACAGCTCGACGACATGTCAGGACAGAGGCATGTAGAGAGGCGGAATGAACGTCTCAAACAGCCCAACCACCATCACCCTGTCCTCCCCTTCCACATCTCAAGTCAAACCTCTTACTAACAAACCACCACAGGGCATATCCACCACACCCCCGACCAACCCCCACCTAACCCCCTCCTCCCTCCACGCCCTCCGCCGCAAACTGCAAGAAACGCAGAAACTCCACGCCGCCCTCGTAGCCGAGAAGACGCGCAACGAGGCGCTGATCGCCCAACTCCGCTCGCTGCTCCAACCACCGCCGACGACGCGGGACTTCCGATCCTCGGGGGTCAGTGAATTGGCAGGGGTGGAGGGCAGGCAAGGCGGAGAAGCGAGGAAGAAGTATGACGGGATGTTGGCGTTTCTGACGCATTTACCTGCGGCGCAGGCGCTGGGCGTGCAGGGTTTACCTACATCTGCACAACAGCCTATGTCTGCATCTACGTCCGCAGGTACAATAGAGAGTTCAGCAGCAGCAGCAACAGCAACAACATCATCACCGACGAGCACCCAACCCCTAACCACACACACGCAATTCACAACCTCGCAACTCGCGCACCTCCGCTCCCTCCTCGCCTCGCTCAAACCCCACCTCCCCTCCTCTTCCCTCCAGCAGTCTTCCTCTCATCATCATCACCAGCAGCAGCAGGGCGCGAGGGCGGACCTCGCGCGCGAGAGGAGACTCTACGTCGAGGCGCAGAGTAAACGCATCTTGGAGAAGAGGGGTGTGGATACGAGGGATGGGG